ACGATTGGTTGGACTCTCTGACTTTTAAAAGGAACACAAAAGAGAATAAGTTACGGTTAGAAAAAAAGGCAAGGGCTTGGCCCGAGAAGCAAGTTGTCTTTTAGGTTGATAGGGAGATATCTGGAGCACTTGTGCAGGACTTGCAATGGTATTCCATCTAGTGGGGCAATGCCCCTTGCTGGGGACCTCAGATGACTTTGACCTTTGCTCCTACTGAAAACCACCTACAGCTGCTCTAGCTTTAAATGAGTATTAAGGTATTTGAGGTAGAGGATTGAAGATGAGCCGTAATGCTTGTTAGATTTCTCCTGTTTGTGCCATTGCTATGGAAACAGGTATTATATTAGCTAACCCAGTGGACCAAGTAGGTGTGAGTAGACCTTTGACCTCTCTTCATTTTACCTTTTTATACTACTGAAGGAACAGGAGAGAAAAAAATGTGTATTACAGCAGGTAGTAAATAGGATATTGCTACCCAGGGCTTAGGCTCAAATGAAAGGGTGTGAGTTTATTTGCACAAATAGACTGATTATTTTGAGCATGCTGCAGCCTTCTATATGAAGTATCATTAAAGTGCTGTAGGGACTTTTTCCCCTCCCTAACCTTCCTGGGAACAATTTCTTATTGACACCACCTGGAAAAGGAGGCACAGGAACCCTAGTGCTCTTATGCTTGCTCAGAAAGCCCCAGGGTACTACAAGCTCAAATTTAAACTGGTTGCGAGATTTACCTGTAACATACAGCCTGCTTCCTTTCTAGAATTGCTCATTATTTCAATCTTACAAAGTTTGTAGTATTATAAGGATTTTAGGGATTTCTGTTCCTTCTTCTTTTTATGTCATATTCTCAATTTTGAGGTTGTAGTGTGTTTCATACTGAAGGACTTAAATTTTTTATGTATCATGTTGAGAGAAATTTTCTGGCTTGTGAGATTTGGACAGGAAGGAGGGGAGTCTGGACTGATTTCTTCTGTGGGCCCTGTTCAGCCTGGTAAGTATTATGCAGATGCTTGTGAACAGCTGGGCAGGACATGTTATGATTTTATGCTTCTATGAAAGTAATCCTGTTTGTGCTTTGTGTGTGTAGAAATATATAAAACACAAAATGTTATCTCTGCCTAGAAAATATGCGTGTCCTTTCTCTGTGATGTGGCCATGCAGAAATACTTAACCCAAATTCTTAGATTTAATGGGTAGCAATATGACTTTGCATAAGGCTTTTTGATGGGAAATTATCTTTTAAATTCTCTCTAAAAACATCATTTGTTAAAATACTTTTAAGTAGTCGTTAAGTGCTTCATTAGAGTGTTTTCTTCTTAAAAAGCTTTAGTTAGATTAAAACTGAAGTGTGCCTATTTCTTATTATCAATTTTTACTTTGCCTTTTCCTAAATGGACGTTGGCTCATGCATTTTTGAGGTTTAATATCAGTTCAGCTGAATGCTCTTGAATTCCTGAATTAATTTGATCATTTTCTCTTAATGACCATGAAGAGTTTTGTTAAGCTGGAGTGCCATTAAACTTAAGTGCTGTAGTGTTTAGAGCCAGCAGTCACTGGGGAAAAGCTTACAGGTATAAAATAGGATTGGAAGTTGAACAGAATGTGAGGGGTTCATTTTCTGTGAATCCAGCTATAATCACCTGGAGGCTATGTGGTCTGAACTGATATGAAATCAGGAGTTCACTCAAGGAGAAAGTGCTAATTCTTTAAGGACATATTTTGATCTGGGGCTCAGCTCTACATTTTGCTCTTGAAGTCTGATTAACACTTCATCATCTGTTATAAATAAAAATCTTATATGTTGTGAACGTAGTTTACATAGCTGCTGCTGAACTAAAGAAAGCTCAAATAGCCTTGGTATGCTTTGACACATTCTCTTCCTACTGATGGTGGGAAAACCCCCAGGAAGTTTCTTTTATTGTCATACCTGTACCCATGAAAAAAACTTTGAATTGAATAAAAGGTGGGGGTGCTGTGTGCGTATTATTTTCAGGAAAAAATATATTTTGTCTCAGGACAACTTAGAATTAAATTATTTCCATTTTTAAAGCTATTAAAAAACAAAATGAAATTACATTTGAAATGAAAAGCTGTTGAAAACAGAAGTTATTTATTACTCTCAGATTCCTCAACATTCTTTTCTGTTCAACTTTAACTCATTTCTAAACATTTTGACTTCACCAAATTGACATTTTCACAATGGAAAAAAAAGGTTTAACACGTTAACCTAATTATGATTTAATTATTCTAGTTCAAGCTGTACTTTATGAATTATGTGAACAGTGGAGAAAAAGTTCCCACATTGTACTAAGACTGTGAGTGGTAGGGGCCACTCCAGCCTAAGAAGTGAGGGCAACATACAAGTTGTTGGTTTGTTTTACTCACAATGGAGAATTTTTTATGTACTTGGACCAGGCAAGATTTTCAGTACTGGCTGGCCTTGGGCTTCCTTTCTTGTCACTGAAGTTGTTGGGATTAGCAGCCCTGGTAGGCTGCTGGTGAGCACTTGGAGAAGCCCATTTACACCTGCTCTCAAGGTAAAATGACTTCTCTCCATTGCTACTACATGCAGGGGGTGGTGGGCAGTGTTGTGGAGAATAAAGGACTCAATGTAACGAACTTTAATTAAAATCTTCCTCATGCCAGAACAGTACTTAATCTTCTCATGGATTAGCAGAGTGATTTAAAAATTAGAAGTTTACCTTCACAGTCAACACTTTAAATATAAGTTATCTGTCTGAAATTTAGGGGAACTGGGTTTGCTTTTTGGGGGGGGCAGAATAGTGGGGGAGAAGGTAGCGAGGGGGGGGGTGTTTTGTTTGTTTGCATTTAGAATTAAAGTATGGCTTTTGCCCTTTAGGCTAAAAATAATTTTATGCTTTTAAGTTGCCATGTGCTCTCCCAGGAATCTTGGATTTCAGGTTTTCTGCCTGATACCTGACTCTCTCTCGGAGAGCTTTCCTGACTAATGCACCTCACCAGAAGATGTTTCTTCCTTGAGTATCTGTTCTGAAGGGTCATTACACACAGAAGAAGGTGATTTTACCTTCATAGCACTTTTAGCTCAGGTCAAGTTAAAGAAAATGTGAGCATATTAATGAAAAGCAAAACAGTCAAAGGTGATGCAAACGATGTTTATGGTTACAATAGTGAAGAAAAAGTTAAAGACATAATATACTTACTTCACTTACAGCAAGATAACCTCTGGAAGTTGCTGGTGGTAAATCACTAGCTCTCCCTGTGTCTACTTGGTCAAACTGGAGCTAATGCCAGACTGCCTAGGGTGGGCAGCTTGTTTCTACTATGTCCTCTGCCTTTTCTCTTCAGCAAAGATGCTTTGCTAGAGCAGGAGAATATGCCCAAGGAGCTTAAGTAAGGGTTTGTTAAATTTCTCATCTTCTTTTCCAGATTATTGATCCTTTCTCGTCACATGCTTGCCGTCTCGCTTCCACTTGTAAAGCCATGTGTATGAAATATTTCCCTACTCTAAGCCTTGTGATTCTTATAAAAATAAACAATTTAATTTTATGTAATATGTAGGGAATGTGAGGCTCACTCATGGCTCCTGAATGTGACCAGTCCCTATGACAACTCTTAAGTTTGAATGTGGAGGATTTGGGGGAGGTAGGAACTAACTTAAAATTTGAAGACTACTGCTGTAATGTCTGCTCATCAATTAGCATGAGGGACCTTTTTCCACCACCATTCAACACTTTTGACTAATAAATCGATCATACACTTGCCTAGTAGAGATACGGAACTTTCTGAGCTGTTGTTATTTGACATAATCTTCTTATAAGCTTTAAAAAAGGCCTAGCATCCCCCTTCCTTCTTGACTGTGTGTATCTTAAATGCAGGTAGAGAGCTACTTCAGTAAAGATTGCTTGTGCTTAAAAAGCTGCTGTGCACTTAAACAGGTATACTTCAGCTTCCTTTGAGGGCTTTGAAATAGAACAAGGGGTGCTTTAAGTTGGAGAGCTCTACATCACTGCAGCATGTTAGTACAGCATGAACACTTTTAATTTCGTATCAGAATAGATTCTAAACATATTGAATAATACTGGCAGTAACTGGATGCCTTTGCATACTTTGAAAACAGAGCTAGGGCTCCAGCAAATGCGCTGCTAACTGTAGAAGATACCAAGCCCTATCTTTCTGAGCTGCAAAGAGGCAGTGCTATTCACTGAACAGCATAGCATAGGAAAAACTTTGCTATAAAAGGTTCAGGAGCTGTGCATCTCCTACTCCATCTCAAACCATGTAGAAATAGGAGTACGTCTAACTAGAGACAATATTTAGAAGCTGGAATGTATTGAACTAGCAGCTGTGTTTTTCAGTTCTAGCAGATTCTGTGACATAGCCCACTGGAACTGCTGGTGGAAAACTGATTGTCTTACTCAGCACCTCATGACAAGACTTTTCCTTACAGTCCATGCAGTTCTCCTCTTCCCTTATTTCTCATTAATATCCATGGGCACAGCAATGCCATCCAACTGACCACAGACAGGTTCACAGTGTTTGTAGTGCCCTGTCCCTTTCCTGATACTGTTTCTCTGATGTGGTTTAAACTGGTCTGAAGTTTCTGGTGTTCTCTTGGATATCACACCACAGGCCAGTGGGATTAGTTGCCCCAGACTGTTTGCAAACATGCAAAACCATGAACTGATGCCAAGAAATGTAGGTGAGGCAGTTTTATAGTGAGTTCTGGAAGCAGATGCTTTTTCTCCAAGAGACATGTCTGTGTGTCTCTAGCTTGTGTAAGCTGTTTGTGAACACAGCACTGGTGAATTCATTTCAATGGAATAAATGGGCCAGAGACACAGGTGCTGTACAGATAACTGAATTCACTTGTTTCATGGGCAACAATGCCTGTTACAAATAGTTATTACATTTAATTCATAAATGTAATAGGAAAAGATAAAAAAATATTGCAGTATTTAAAATGTAAAGGGTTAAATAAGGCATACTCAGCCTTTGCTGCTTTGCTTTATTTTTTTCTTGGGAGTGATTGAGTGGAAGAATGCTTTTGAAGCCTTTGTTTGAATTAAAGACTAAGAAAGCACACAAAGTAAGTGAGGTGGGCTAAAACTGCTGGAGTTCTTGTTCTTGAAGTGTGATCATGTTTCCTTGAAAGAAATTAATAATAAATGTTTCTTAAAGAGCTAAGATAACAACAAAATAAACAAACTCAGTTTCTGCACCTGGTGTTGGCTGTAGCCAGTAGCTTCAGTACTGTAGAAATGGGCAAAGTTCATTGTCTATCATCCAAACAAAGATCTGACTACCTTGTACTAGCTTGTTCTGGGATGTTTAAATCTTTGCTTTTCACTGTGCTCTCAGCTATTGTTTTATAGAAAAGTTGCAAAAAAGATTCTGCATTGTTTGGACAGGCCATGCCCTTAATGTGTAAAGGGAAGAGGAGAGTGGTAAGGAAGAGAAGAAATGAAGGGGGAATGAAAGAACCTAGAAGAAAACAATTTCTTTTTCTGCCTTGTTGTGGGAACAGAACCTTGGTGACACATCCATAATAGAGGAGCGGAAAGGCATGACAGTTAAGGTCTAAAAAAATGATGGAAATAGTGCTCTTTCTCTCTTCTTCCCCTTCATTTCCTCTCAGAATCCTTCTTGAATTTTTCTTCTGACCACTTCCACTTGAAGGATGCTGGGAAGAAGTGGTGGTAAACAGAACTTTTTCTGTTCTGTTGTAGGTTCACCATTTAAAAGTAGGTTTGGCATAAGCTCCTAGGTCCTCTGGCTTGAAAGTTCATGCTGTTCTCTTTCAGTAGCTGTGCTCTAACACCATCTGAAGGAAGATGATATGGCTTTTTGTTTCAGCTAATTGGGCATTTTTATTTTTGGGCAATATTTTATGTCATGGGTTAGGTTGGAGGCTTATTCCTTGGACAGTTTATAATATAGGAGTTTACCAAATAAGCTCTATACATTTCCCCTGCATGCTATGCATGTAAATACCAAATACTTTAATAACGAGCAGTAAATTCAACAACTGGCATAATGAGCATGTAAGCTCATGAGTGTTGCAAAAATAAATAAAATCCTGCAGCCGCTGTGACTCCATTTTTGGATAATGATTTTGTCATCGGGGAAGCTAATAAGAGAGAGTCAAAATTCCTCAAGATGTTGTAGCAGCTGGCAAGGTCTCCATGGTTACATTGGCAAGAGATCTGGAAACCACCAAGAGTAGCTCATTGCTTGACAGTAAAATGTCATAGGGGAATACTCCTCGGATCATCTGAAGATGATCTTAAAGAGAAGCTTTAATTAAAAAAGGAGAGAGGGAAGAGGAAACAAGCTTTGTTTAGGGGGAAAATGCTAAAAATTGAATGCGGGCAATGACAAGGATGTATGTAGGACATCTTTAATCACAGGCTTGTGACTGCAATTTTTATGTTAGCTGTTGTTTCTGCTTATTTCATGTATTTGTGTGGTGTGACAAGATCAGGGAAATAATCTCAACTGAATGCAAGCAAAGCGTCACAGAAGTAGTAGCTATCCAGATAAGATTGTTCCATCCTGTGTCATGGGACATGAAATATTCGCTGCTTTATGCTCATGGATGGGAAGGTTCTGAGAGATTTCAAGACATTGTGCTTCTCAAACAAAATATAGTCTATTTTAACAATTCCAGTCTTAAGCAAAATATTTTCTTAATAAAAAAGAATAACAAACTACAGACGGTTTTAAGTGGGATGTGGATCAGAATATCAGAATGTAAAAAACAAAGGGACAATGGCCCCTTTTTGAAAGGCATTCTGATTTTTATCATCATTTTTGATAAAATTCAAGACAATTCAGTGAAATGCCTATTTTTTTTATTTTTTTTTCTCCTTTTTATTCATAAACTTAGAAAAAGCCATACTGAGTGTCACATGAGTTTGAGTTTCAGGCAGAGCTTTCTGCATATTCCTATATCTATGCATCCAGACCAAATATCTGTGTTTTGCAGCCCTGCTGCAGAATTTCAAGGTCCAGGTCACAGTTTGGTGCCACATGAGAGGAATACTAAGAGATCTTTCTTCAAAGGAGATTTAAGTGGCAGTTGAAGATAATCCAACTGTTTGAGCAGTGTAGGATGCTTTTAGTGAAATAGAAAGTACTGATTTGCCTAAAATGATATTTTCTTTTATTAGTTTGTCTACTTTGGAAACGGTTTGAGGGATAAAGGTTTCTGAAATTTAGGGCTGTCAAACCTCAGCTATATAGAGAACATCAGATGTTATGGTGGGCTGGGCTGGGATTAGAGAGACCCAAATTCTGAATCAGGCATAACAAGAGACTTAGCCTGGGATGTACCCATCCTATGCAACTCCCTGAAACATTGGGCATTCGGCTATTTTAAATATGAGGCTTGGTATTTCTTGTCAGATTTGAAACATCTAAGACAACTGCAACTTACTGATTTATGAGTCCTGGCTTTGCATGTTGTGGTAGAGGATCCATCCAGCTGGGATGTGGGAGCCTGACAGCCCCCTTCCCCTGATGGGAGTAGGACTCTTAGCCACATGGCCCCATTTCACACACAACTGTCACAGAGATGGCCATGGATCAGAGCTCCATGTTAAGTGGAGCTTAAACTTTCAGTTAAGTGACTGGAATGTCTTTTTGTTGCAATTTTTGGGCCTGGCTCACTCTGGGGAATTCAGACCTTCAGGAAAATGATGATGTTGGGATTCTCTATCAGCAGCAGCTCTGTGGAGCTGCTCAGTCTTTTTCCTGTGGAACAGTTTCCAGATCAGTAGATTTCTACACAGAAGCAGTGATACCTTCTTGCTAGTGATAAGCAGGTAGAAGAAGAACGATGTGTTTGGAGAAGAATCAAACACTGGTCTGGTAGGTAATTAAAAAAAATTGTTTGTTTTCATCAGTGTTTCACCTTTGAAAAGACACCTAGCCATTAAGCAGGTCACTGTTTCTGACCTTTATAGTAAATGAAGCAATCCTATGTTGTTTGAGAGATTGAATACATGACCTGCTCATTTGTTTCTGTCAACTCAGGTAAAAAATAATAGATATATTGCATCTTCAGATCAAATTCTGTGTGGCTAACTTGTGGAAATGGTAGTCATTAGTGCACTGACCTTCCTTGAGTGTTATATGTGCCAGACTCACTGCTTTCCTCTCCTCATCAGAGAGAATGGCAGGGTAGGGAAGAGAGCTGAAATGATAAGAGGAATGTTCTCATTTTCACCTGCACCTAGTCTGCCACATCCTCTGCTGTGTGTGATTTGTTAGAGCTTGAAAACAATCTCAGGGATTCCTGGGCTCTGAGGAACAACTCAGCCTTTGGATTTCATGGCATTAAAGGATACAGTAACTCTTGTAATGATTTGTGAAATTAAGTAATGCTTGACTTTGAAGCCAGTCATTTAATTTCAAAGACCCCGAGTTCAAGGTGGCCTAAATCAGAAAGATTCTGCTTGGCATTAACTGGTACTGTCTGCTGCCAGCAGCTGAGAGGTTCATCTCACAGTGGTTAAGGGACTCAAGTTCTTTTCTATGAATCTTTCGCCCACAACTAGTATATATTTAACAGAGAGGACTGGGGTCAAATACTCACCTGCTAGTATGCTGTCTAGGGACATGTGTGATAAGCATTTATCTCCACCACTAGGAATTTCCTGACCTAGGTTTAAACCTCATCAATAATCATGATTGTCGTGGTTTAAACCCAGTCAGGTAACTTGTTCACTCACTCCCAGTGAGTGGTGCCGAGCTGACAACAATCAAGGTCCGTGTCCGTCTCCCCCCCCCCCCGCACCGGGGCTCTCCCCTTCCCCACTCCCGGAGGAACGGGGAGGAGGATCGAGAGAGTGCAACTCCTACGGGTTGAGACAAGAACAGTCCAGCAACAAATCACCACCGCTACTATCAGCTAAAACAATGATAAGGGAAAATAACAAGGGAAGAGAATACGATACCACCGGCCAAGAAAACGAGTTCCACCCAGAAGCCCCTGTCCTTCCGGGTAACTCCCAGTTACCCCCCACCCCGGGCATGACGTGCTGTGGTATGGAATACCTCCCCGGCTAGCCCGGGTCAGGCGCCCCGTCTCTGCTTCCTCACAGCTTCCCCTCCTCCCTGGCAGAGCATGAGCCTCACAGAGTCCTTGGTCAGGGTAAACATCACTTAGCAACAACCGACAACATCGGCTTCACCAACACTGTTCTCAAACTAGAAGTCAAAACACAGCACTGCACCAGTTAACACAAAGGAAAAAACATGACTGCTACTGCTGAACCCAGGACATTATCCACCCCTTATTCCATACCATTCACGTCGTGCTCAGATCCCACATTTTCAATACACCATCGCTCTCCCACATATATACATCCATATACATACAGACCAAGAGGAAAAAATCATTTTCTTAGTGCATGGACCAATCCCTATAATGCTGCCGAGTCCATTCGGTCCATGATGTTCCAAGTTCATTCTCTGTTGGGATGATGGCTGGAGGGAAGTCAGGGCCAGTCGCTGGTGACCTGGAGACATCTAGTTGATGGGCTATAAAAGCATTACACAGCAGGCAACAGCATACAATTGAGTTCACTGGCTGTTTTCCCCTAAAATCAAATCCCCTTGAGGTATACATCGGACTTCCCCATCTTCCTGCATTACCCACCAAGTATATCCAGGTCCCTGAGCAAAAGCAATCCCACGAGTGGGTTTGCCTTTACCTGAAGCAGGAATAACCCAGACTGTCTTCCCCAGCAAATTCTTCATATGCACCACAGGAACTTTGTCCCCCTCTACAATATGTAAAAGTTCTGACTGGGCTGGGCCAGCCCTGTTGGCAGATCCTCTGGTGTTGACCAACCAGGTGGCCTTTGGTAAATGTGTATCCCAATGCTTGAAAGTTCCCCCACCCATCGCTCTCAGTGTAGTTTTTAACAGCCCATTGTACCGTTCGATTTTCCCAGAGGCTGGTGCATGGTAGGGGATGTGATATACCCACTCAATGCCATGCTCTTTGGCCCAAATATCTATAAGGTTATTCCGGAAATGAGTCCCATTGTCTGACTCAATTCTCTCTGGGGTGCCGTGTCGCCACAAAATCTGTTTCTCAAGGCCCAGGATGGTGTTCCGGGCAGTGGCATGGGGCACAGCGTATGTTTCCAGCCACCCGCTGGTTGCTTCCACCATGGTAAGCACATGGCGCTTGCCTTGGCGGGTTGGTGGCAGTGTGATATAGTCAATCTGCCAGGCCTCCCCATATTTATACTTCAACCATCGTCCTCCATACCAAAGAGGCTTTAACCGCTTGGCTTGTTTAATTGCAGCACATGTTTCACACTCATGAATAACCTGGGCAATAGTGTCCATTGTTAAGTCCACCCCTCGGTCACGGGCCCATCTATATGTTGCATCTCTGCCCTGATGGCCTGAAGTGTCATGGGCCCACCGGGCCAAAAATAATTCACCTTTATGTTGCCAATCTAAGTCCATCTGAGCCACTTCAATCTTAGCCGCTTTATCCACTTGTTGGTTGTTCTGGTGTTCCTCAGTGGCCCGACTCTTGGGTACATGGGCATCTACATGACGTACCTTCACCACCAGGTTCTGCACCCGGGCAGCAATATCTTTCCACAGTGCAGCAGCCCAGATGGGTTTACCTCTGCGTTGCCAGTTGCTCTGCTTCCATTGCTTCAACCACCCCCACAGGGCATTTGCCACCATCCATGAGTCAGTATAGAGATAAGGTACTGGCCACTTTTCTCGTTCAGCAATGTCCAGGGCCAGCTGGATGGCTTTCACCTCGGCAAATTGACTCGATTCACCCTCTCCTTCAGCAGTTTCTGCAACTTGTCGTCCAGGACTCCATACAGCTGCCTTCCATGTCTGATGCTTTCCCACAATACGGCAAGAGCCATCAGTAAACAAGGCATACTGCTTTTCACTTTCTGACAGTTTATTATATGGTGGGGCCTCTTCAGCACGCACCACCTCCTCCTCTGGTGACATTCCGAAATCTTTGCCCTCTGGCCAGTCCATGATGACTTCTAGAATGCCTGGACGACTGAGATTTCCTATTCGAGTTCGTTGTGT